TGAATCAAAAGTAATCAATGAACCTGTGAAACAAACTTTTACAGCTGAACCTGATGACGATGGATTTATACCAGTTAGCAAGGGCAAGAGACGTGGCTAAAAAATTTTTTAAAAAAAGAAATATTTTTTAGCAAAGCTAAAATTAAACATTAAATTTTTAATTAATATCAATAAATACACATGCCTACAATAAATTATCGGACATCAACAATGTGTAAACAATGACTACTAGTATATCGCTATATGCTTGACTTAGTTATTGTATTAAAATTTGCAAATTAGCTTTATTGTATTATTTGTTATATAAATTTTATTTTATTTAAAAAAGTAAAAAAAAAAAGTTAATACGTAGTACGTATGCTGGGTTTTATAAATTTAACGCGGGTATTTTTTTTCATATAGCTTTAACTGTTAATTGGATTTATTATAAAATATATAAAATATATTTGAAAGTCAATATTTATTAAAGATAATAATTAATGTTTATGTTAAAAATTTATTGTTTATAAAATAACATTTTTTAAGTTTAAAAATAACAATTTGCTTATTATTAGACATGATGTGACGAATATTAACATTTGATTTTTGACCAAGAATGTATGTTTAAAGGGTTTATCTGTTTGTTTTTAAAGTTCAGAAGTTCTATGTGAAAAGGCTTTCCATAAAATATTTTAGTGTCTAAATTCTATAACAACCATGCCATCAAGGGAAAAGCTATAGTCGGGCTTTCAATTATAATTTGCATCGAACACAATTCCCGTATTTTCGCGTAATAACGTTATTTTAAATAATGGCCCGAATTAAGCTTAATTTGGGCCAAATTTGAAATTACACCCCTGCGCGTTATTACGGTAAATAGATTAACAAAATATAATTGAAAGCTCGATGACAAGTTTTCTCTTGATGACACTCTTATACTGTACTAATAACTTTATCAACATGCTAAATACATATAAGAATTTTTTTATTAAATTAATTGACAATTTTATTAATAAAAAAGTGAGCAAATTTTTATAAATATTAATAAATATTGAAATCAGCATTCCTGATGTATGCAACTTTTTTTCTATTAAGTAAAGGTTTCTTGAAGCTTTAATAAAAGTTATAGAGGCGGTTTTTCTGATTCTAATAGTGGTTAAATCATCAAAATCGGCTTGGTGAATCGCGAGATATAGTCATTTATCTTCGCGACTATATAAAATTTCTTTGCAGATCATCAAAGAAATTTTATATAGTCGCGAAAATAAAGATAACTATATCTCGCGATCCATCAAGCCGATTTTGATGATTTAACCACTATTAGAATCAGAAAACCGCCTTTACAACTTTTATTAGAGCTTCAAATTTGTGATACTTAGTTTCAGAGATTATCTCTCCTACTTTCCCAACCACCACAAAGAGGTGTATCTCATTAGTTGGGAGAGACCCGTCATTTGTTGACAGTGTAGTTCTTTTTCTTTTTTTAAATTGAATGCTGTCTTGCACCTATATCAAACCCCAACCATATTCTCTCCTGCGCCTCCCGTACAGGAGTAGGTTGTTCTTCAACGAAGCTTTTTACTTAAATCAAGAAAAGAACGTAACCGGCCCCTTATACAGAACCAGTAAACCTTGAAACAGAGGAGATGTAAAAAAGCTGGACATCATGGAGTATAGCAATGGAGCGAACTAAGTGCGAGAACGAAAAACAAAAATTCGGTAAACACGCCAAATTTAAATTGTTTTGACTATCTGCTATCACGTTACACCTGATTATCAATTTTTATTGGTGATCAACGCGTCAGTAAACAATACAGTAATAACGAGCACCGACCCATATTATCCAATGAAAGATCAAATACTCATAATGAATTTAAAAAATTTTCCAGTTTCTTATTTTTATTATTTTCCTTTCTCTTTCATTCTTAAGTTCCTTATTTTATTTGTTACAGAGTCAAATTTCGTTCTTAACATTAGTGACCATGATTTTATTGTACTGTACGTATATAAAGTTGGTTGCCTATAATCGAACAGGGACTAGGTTATTTGCTAATTCTGCAAATGAATTCAAAATGACCAACATCTAATTTTGGGTCATTTAAAAATGACTCGTGACCAATACTTATATACATCGCTCATCATTTTATCTTTCAACTATCGATACCGTTGTTAATTATTCATATAGATTTTGTCATGCAATCGAGTTACCTTCATAATTCCGAAAGACGAAAATCTAAAAATTTACTTATTTGAGATATCATAATATGCCGACTGTAATTAAGGATTGAAAACATTTAACCGCCAAAATTTTGCTTCATAGTTTGGCTAAATGTTATTGATCATTAGCCCAAAATTTTCGAGATTGGTATCAAAACCAATTATAGTGCTTTGCAAAAAAGATGTTGCCTCAAAATTCTTGGCAGACATAAAATCTAAATTTAAGAGTCCATACATACATAATTATACTATTATATAATTAAGTTTCATAATTAGCAATTATAAAAACTATATGTGCTCGCTTAGTTTTTAATATTGTAATAATTAATATATTTATCTATTCTTTTTACATATTGATCGATATAGGTTTATTAATTTCTTACAACATATAATTCTAATGGCTGATGCCCAAGAAACAAGACTAACATTTCGTCGAGAAACCTGTTTTAGCTGTCGAAAATGCTTTACTGTAGAATTGATTTAAACAACAAAGATGTATTTGCAATTTATCAGTATTTGTCTCCATGGATTAGATACAGTTCTCCCCTTCTAATACTTGTTTACGAAATTTTTACTAATAAATAAAAGGTTTGCAATTTGTAATGTTGACCAAATTGTGAAAATCAATTTTTGTTATAAATCTTTAATAAATCATAAGAAAATACAAAATTTTATTAATACGACTACTTACCTTCATGTTTTAAGTGAAAAATAATCCCAACCTTACTCTAAAATGATTTATGTAAAAAAATTTCTTTTGAAATAATCGTCAATTTGGTCACTTTTTTCAGCACCTAATCCATATCGATATATATATTAGATAAGTAGGTGTGGTTGTTCTGTGATACTTCTCAATTTACGTCGATTATTAATTGAATTGCGTTATTTTTTTCATAAATGGTTGAGAATTAATTTAAGATTTCATGACTATACAGTGTTACAAAGTTACAGTCTACTAATCAATAATAACAGTATTCTAACATCTAACCAGCGTATCCAATTCTTGCGGAACTGTAAACGTAGAGTGGACAATGATTTATTAATCTAACAAATGCAACAAAGAACAAAATACTTATTATTCTCATAATATTATCAAATTATGATATTGTATAAGCAAATTTGACCTAAATGCCAATTATACTATTCTTTATATTATAAATTCGTAATATTTTGTTTCGACATTTTCAATACATATTAAATGTGATGTGCGGTAAAGTCCAGTCTTGGTCCGGTTGGTCTCGTAACCTGTAGGTTTTACTGCATGGACTTATGGACCAAGACTTATAAAACCACTTAGTCCTAGAACCTAGGTCCACTATATGTTGTAAAGGGCGGATTTGGGGTGACTAGTACTCGCAACCTAAGACACAACAAAAATCAAAGGCTACTCGAAAGAAAGCGTGGATGATTTGGTCCGAGAACCAAAGATCCTACTGCCACTAGGATTCCTGGAGTTTATCATTAGATGGTCTCTATTATTATAACACTTCACTTGTTTTCAGATACATGAAATCGATGGTTATTTATACATTACAGAGAGCTTTGGGGCTCTGCTACTACGATTAGAATCTCTAAGCAATATCGATATGACTATTTAGAGTATCGGGGGAATCTATGACTAACGATGGGTAATTCATACTCATTTACTTTTAATTCCCACCATAAAGGCGCCTTATTATTGTACTTCAATGAAGTTTCACCTCAAGCCAAACCCCGAATTTGCATTTATTAAATGCCATCACTTTTTCGATCAATGCGCATTAAGGTCCTGAGTCTTATGGCTTAGATCACGTTACCCCTTCACAATGACTAGAATGTGTAATAATATTATGTGAACTATATACATTAAATAAATGATTATGATCTTAAACTATGCATTTAAAACTTTATTGAAATTATACTGTATATATATTGATTTGCAATAGCAGAAATTTGCAGTTGAAATGAATTTTATTATTTTTAATGAATTTTAATTTGTATATTAGGATTTTTTAAAGACCTAAGGACCCTAGGTCCTTAAATTTGGACTTGGTCTTTAAAGACCCGGTTTAAAGACCAAATCCTAAAGTTCCGGACCTAAAGACTTTACCAACCCTACGCACAGAGCTAGTCATATTCCATATCAAATTCATCCTAAAATTAGTAAAATAGTTAAGTTTGTTGATTTCTGTCCAAATATTGGCTGATTAATGATAATTATATATAATGTACCTTGGGTTCTTTAGGTTCCTGATCTTCACTAAATTGTAACGCATTATCCACGTGAGATATCACGGCAGTTATAGAATCTTCGTCATTTATATTTAACGGAAGAAAACTAACCATGTTAAAATCATCAATCTACAAATAAATCAGGATAATTATGAATTTATAATATATAAAATGCATTATTTATTGTTATATTGAAAAATCTAATAAATTTACCAATTGTACAATTGATCTATTTAAATCATGAAATTTTGGATTCATCGAAGCATTCGCTTCATCAGCTAACAACAAAGGATCAGGATCGAAATACCTAAAAAAATAAAAAATTAATAATATTAATTGAAATAAGAAATAGTTAAGATAATATACAATTATGAGAGACAATAATTTGCGCTCGCCTTTCTAATTCCCTCTTTTTGACCTTTCCTAACAAATCCATTTTTGATAGAACATTTATATGTGGTATTTCTAAACTAATCATTGCAGACATTGCACTCAAGACTCCAGCAAAAAATTTCGAATTATCTTGTATAAATTGACTTTCCAACAAATAAACGCCGCAAATACGAAAATGCATCCTTTGCAAACATTCACAGATACGGCGAATAATTGGAAAATGTGTGTAAAGCTCAATCTGACCTTATCATTAGAAAAGCGAGTCGCAAATGAACAAAATTGAGCATAAAAAAAAAAAAAAAAAGAGAGAAATCTAATAAAAGAAAATATAATATATATTGACATACTATTATTAATACATACCTGGACAATCGATAATCAAGTAATCATCCTCATATTCACCCAATTCATCTTCCAACCAATCCATATTATTTAATAAAAATCTTATGAAGAATATGATTATGATTATTATGACTATTAATTTAAAAAAAAATTTCGATAATTAATTTTTGATAATTAAACGTACTCGAGACAATATATCAATCCTCCATTAGGCCCATATTGCAATTCCTCCATAACATCTTCCAAAGTAATAAGATCTCGAATGTCTAATTTGTCATAGTAACAAGCACATTAAAGGTTTTGATCCAATTTATTAATAAATTTATCAAAGGATTGTAATAATAATACCTATCGTAGGATTATACTCAAATTTTTCAGCAGCTGGATCAAGGTTAAATAAATGTACAGAACGACCTATGTTCTGACAGTGAGTCATCATTGTAGCGCAATAAGTAGACTACCGTGTATAATTTTTTAATCAAGGTAAATAAAGCAGCGAACAATTTAAATTCTGAAACAACCGCTTGTTGTCAAAACTTCGAGTCCTCTAACCTTTCCTGAGCCCGCAGGCCCCATAACAAGTTGGACATAACGACCCCTACAAAAGAGTAAGGTTAATATTTCTTTAGCATATAGTAAAGAGTGAGAGCTTTAAAACCTACATTATGTTTATCCAGACAAGCACAATTTCAGTAAACGATCACTGGGTTAGTCTTTTATTCCGGACAGGTGAACATTCGATTTGATTGGCTTATAAAGCTCCGAGTCATACAACATAAAAAAAATTTTTAAAGTAAATCTTATTAAATTCGTTAATTCAGTAATTGGCAACTGGTACGTACTTCGATCCTATTTTTGACAGGCCGAATCCGTATTATACGTATTATAGATAAAACTGGCTTTTAAGCACGTCCTTAGGTAATCCGAATAAAAATCCTTGATCTAATTTTACATAGCAAAATTTTTTTAAAAAACACGTGTCGCGTTGCTCCGAATTTCATTTTAGAAGCATAAAAACATTTATTAAGTAATTAAACAAGACTTTCTACCTCAGCTTAGCGCTTCCCATACTAGGGAGAAATGAAAATTTGAGCATATATTTTCTCTAATTGTCGAACTAAAATCAGGCAACATATTCTAGTCTACATCAGGGCCGATGATTTTCTGCGGTGGTTAAAAATAAATTCTGCGTGTGGTTAAGACAAATTCTGTGATTTAATGTGATAAAATTTTTGCCTAATTCTGTGGCAACATTTATAATTTCTTTACAATTCTGTGGTATCATATTGTAATTTCTATGATCTAATGCAATTATAAAATTTTCCAAACCAACTAATTCCGGTGAACACACTCGTAATTTACGTTGATTTATTGTCTACCTTTATGGCATTTCCCAACGTCGGCTTGAATTTACGGTCAGATATATTATAAATTCTGTGATATTCTGCATATTTTTTGGAATTCTGTAATATTCTGTGGTGACTAAGGTTGATTTCTTTGGTTGGCCACGATTAAGAGAAATTCTGCTGTTTTCTGTGAATCACAAAAAATCATCGGCCCTGGTCTACATGTTGAATAATATCTTCCTCCAAAATATTGTTAATTTTAAAAACCACATTTAGCTGCGCATAAAAAAATAATGTTGCTTATACCAGGTGTCAGATAATTCGGTTATCTATCCATTAATTCATTTTATCCAATTATCCATTTGATGTTCGATTTCCATAGATAAATGGATAATGGATTGGAACTCTACATTTGAAACGATTTTTGGCAATAATCGGACGTCTTATTTCACTATCAGTTATTATATCAAGTACTTCATCTTTAGCGATGGGCTAAATTGATTATATACTATTATTTATTTAATATCATTTAATACAATACTATTTCGAATAAGTAATAATAAT